GGGGCCCCCCCCGGGGGGCTGGGGGCTCTGCCTCCGCGGCGGGCAGCGGGCCGTCAAGTCCGTAAAGTTATCTCCATAGGCGCCGAGAAACACGGGGGCTACGAACAATAGGTCCTCATGTCCCAGTAGCATCAAGAACTCAGGAGGGGGAGGGAAAAAAAAAATTTAAAAAAGGGGGAAAAACAAAAATATAGCAGCGGAGCGAGGTTTTTCCCTAGGCAAAGGCAGGGCACACAGCCATCCGCTCACGGCTCCTCGCTCCCTGTGCTACAGCGATCACAACAACCGGGGAGAGCGGGTTCCTGGAGAGAAGCCGGCATCGGGAGCCAGCTCGGATTAAATAAAATAAAAACCCCCCGAAAAACCAAAAAACCCACCCCAAAAAAATAACGGGGAGCGGGAGGGGGGGGAAGAATAATATTAAGAAAACCTGTAGGGAAAGGCGACAGAAGAAAAAAAATCATCCATAATATTCGGCTGCGCTGGAGACGCCGAGTCCCTCCCTGCGGGTCGGAGCAGTGATGCAGCAGAAGCGCTTCCCCCCGCTCCCTCCGCTCCTCCCGGGCTGCTCAGCACCCGCGGCTGGAAAATCATTTCCTCGGAGCCGCTGCAGTTTCTTCATCCATCGCGTCCAGGGCTGGCGGGAGATTAATACGTCGAGCTGCGATGGAGCCTGGGTGGCTGCTGTATCCGAGCTGGGCTTTCGCTTTGGCTTGCCTTGGTTTTTTTTGGCTGCAAAACTGTCTGATGGCACAACTGCAACATAAAGGTTAAATATGGCACAGGGAAAAAAAAAAAAAAAAAAAAAAAGGAGAGGGGGGGAAAGGATTAGAGGAAAGAAACTAATATAAATCAGTAGAGGTTCTTTTTAAGCAAAGAGGTCCCGTCTTTGATCTCTGCTGGGTTTTACAGATCTGCCTTTTAGAGGAAAGGGAGAAAGGAGGAGAGGAGGGGAGAGGGGGGAGAGATCTTTGGCAGGTGCAGAGTGAAAACCTCTTTCAGCTACGCTGAATTCGGGAGACTGGTTGGACTAGTAGCTCTGCAGCTCCAGCTTTCAGTGGGTGTGTTAAATATTATGAGCGAGCCATGATTCCTGCCTTCCTCACGTCATAGTTAGGAGATTGGCTAAATAAACGCTACAGTGATAGTAACAGGAAAACCTCAACCAAAAGCCTTTTTTTTTTCTTCCCCTGCTCTCCTCCCTCCTTCCCACCCCCCTTTTCATTCTACTGCAGCTCCAACTGGGGCAAGGAGAGGGCGTCTGTTCCACAAAGGTTTGCAAAATAAAAAAGAATTAAAAAAAAAAGAAAGAAAAAAATAATAATAAAGCGTCGGGGGAGAGGGGAATCTGCACTAACAGCCTCACAACGCCTGAGCGCGGTGGCCGTGCCCGCCTGGGAGCAGCCATTCTGCCCTGTCATTGCCCGGGCTGGGGAGCAGCTGGCCACCGGCTACTGGCCACCAGCCACCGGCCACCAGCCGCCCCTCGCCCCCGGCCCCGGCCGGAGCAAGGTCAGCAGGGAGAGCTGTGTGTTCTGCTTCCTCCCGGAGGAGCAGGCTTTGGTTTTAATCCGAGATCCTGTGGGCTGTGATAATCCGGGAGCGTGCCGGGGGGTAATCTGCCCTCCCTCCTGCTGCCCCGCGCTGCGCAGGCGGCTCTGCGGCCGGGTGGCCAAATGGCTCATGGGGACGGTGGTCCGGGCACCAGGGGAGCCCCCAGAGCCCAGGGACGGAGGATGAGGGTGGTCTGGAGGAAGGGACAAGCCATCCCAATGGTCTCCAGGTGACAAGGCTGGAGATTTTGATGATGGAGATTTTGAGATGCTGATTTTGTCCCTGGGTGGGGGGTCCCTGGTCCTCACTGGAGCTCAAATGGTCCTGGAGTGGGGCTGCAGCAGGAACGAGCCGGGCAACGGGCTGAGGTGGGCCAAGGACAGGGAAAGCTGCTGCATGAGGAAAGGCTGAGGGAACCTGGTTTGTTCAGCCTTGCAAAGTGAAGGCTCAGGGGACACCTTATCCCAAGGTTCCAGTATTTAAAGGGTGGCTGCAGAGAAGATGGAAATTCCCTTTTTACAAGGAGTCACATGGAAA